TCGGGCCCCTCGATATTGGGTCGAAGATCATACATTGACGATATACTTGTTCCGGCCGAATCGTGGGACGTATTATGCCAGAAAATGGAGCGGCTGCTAGAAGTGTGTGACTATTGAAATTTGTCGGTCAGTGCCGTCAAGAGTACGTGGGGATGTCGGAAGGTCGAGTATCTTGGACATCGAGTTTCCAAAGGGGGACTAGAGGCCTACCCAAAAGATCTTCAGTCTTTGGTCGACCTACCTCTCCCGACAACGCTGAAGGCTATGCAATCCTTTCCAGAAAGCCTAAATTACTACAGCAGGTACATTAAAGATTATGCCGTATACGCGTCAATTCTTTATGAACTGAGAGAGGTGGATTGTCACGCTTGGAGGTGCAAATTGAAGGCTAACGATGAAGTGGCGGCCCAGGAAGACGACGAAGAAAAATGGTCGAAGGTACAAGTAGCGTTTGCCATGCTCAAGAACAAGATTGCTACGGCGCCCATCCTACGACATTTCGACCCGGCTACAGAGGCGGTTATTATTGTCTACGCAAGTGATTGGGCCATCTCGGCGTCGTTGGTGCAGAATTACGACGGCCAGTATATGCCGGTAATGTTCACGAGCCGAACCCTCAAGTCAAACGAGGTGAACTATAGCACAGATGAAAAGGAAGTGTTGGCGTTGTTACGAATATTGGAGACTTGCTTCACGATGTTGGTCACCCGACCCCTCAAGGTTCTGACGAGACATTCTACACTAGCCTGGCTAGTGAATTCTTCGGGGTTGCAAGGTTGCTTGGGAAATTGGGCCGCTCTTTTGTCCCAGTGGACTTTGGAGATTGTGAAATGCAAAAAAGGCGAAGACCAGGTACTGGGGGCGTTAGCTGCCAGTATTACGCCTCGAGAGAATGTAAACTCAATTATGTCGTCAATTGCTCCTAAGAAGCATTCCAGGCAAGTGGTCGACCTACCGACGCCCACAGTGGAACCAAACGAAGAACTGTATGTGATGAGTTTCGATGGGTCGGCCCGGGTGAAGCAAGGGGGAGGTGCCTGCAGCGCTTTTGTATGGAAACTACCTGGATGGACTATAGTCGCAGCTGCATCGAAATATCTCAACAAGTCTACAGTGAATGAAGCTGGGTATGAGGGCATGTTACTGGGCTTTGACTTGTTGGAGCCAATGGAGCGACGGCGTTTATTTATCTGTGGAGACTCCAATTTGGTTGTAAGACAAATGCGTGGATAGATTGCATGCAAAGCTTCAGGTTTATCCCCGTTGCGGGCCAAGGCGTTGAGTAAGCTCCAGTCGTGGCCCACCCACGCAGTCTTACATGTGAAACGAGACTGGAATCAGAGAGCGGACCAGTTGGCCAGTGCAGCTTTACACCAGCAGCAAAGGGGCCGAATCGATACCGAGAGGAGGGTGGTCAGGTCTAGAAACAATCAATCGGCAGCCAGAGGTGTTGGTCCCTAGAGACCGGGGTCAGTCGGTCAAGGTATACGCGGTGACGAGGTCACATTTTCCCGTCAGAATATCTGGAGAGGTCATGCAAGAAGATGTGGTACAACAACTCCGGAGGGATAGGATCCGAGATGCGCAAGAAGAGGAGAGCTGGGTACGCAAGTTGAAGGCATATTTGAAGAAAGACTGGAAGGACTTGTCTGTGGAATCGGCCCGAACTTGCAGCAAAATGTCGGGAGACTAGGAGATAAGTGAAGAAAGACTGCTAGTGTACTGCCCCGGCCAGAGAATCGAGGCAGACGACCGAGACATAACTGCCAGATTGGTGATACCTGAGAGTCTCCAAGCCGACGTCCTCCATCACTATCATACGAGTTTGGAAGGCGGCCATCAGGGAATCGGGCGTACTTATCATCGGATCCGACGATATTGTCATTGGAGGGGTCTGTTTTGAGTGTTCAGAATATGTGGGTCAGTGCATGGATTGAGAGACTGGTAAAGGGAGCCCCACTTTACAAGGGAAGCCTCCGGGGAATGTTGAAGCGACGTACCCCTTCCAAATTATCGCGATGGACCACATACCATCTCTCCTCAAGTCGCATAAAGTAAATACGGAACTACTGATCTGGGTCGAACTGTTCACAGGTTATGTGATGGCTAAAGCAAGTGCGTCACGGACAGCCCAAACAGTAGATGAGGGATATGAAGAATGCGTTTCCGCCGTTTTTGCGCCAGTGAGACGATCCGTCACGATCGGCAACCTGGGTTTATGTCGGACTTCTTCCGAGCGTTCAGTCGTATGGTGGGTCAACGTCAGAGAGCGACCATGGTGTACCGACCTCAAGCGAACGGCACTGCGGAGAGAATGGTCCAGACTCTGACAAGATCACTCAAGATGTACGTAGACGACGTGGGACAGCGAGACTGGGATGAATACGCGGAACGTTTAACGTTCGCGTTAAACACGGCTCAAGACAGAGTGCGGGAGAAACACCGTTATATCTGGTCCATGGATGGGATGCTAGGACCACTCTTGAGACTATGTTACCAATGGTGAACACTCGACGTCGAGAATCAGGACCTCGGAGATGGAGATATCGGATTCAGAGTCACTATCAGCGAGCAAGAGATCAAGTCAACGAGAATTTACGGGCGGCTAGTCAGGCTCGGGTGCAAGCACAAAATGAAGGGGTAGTCGGCCACGAGATTCAGCCAGGGGCCCGGTTATGGCTATACTTAGACCGAGTGAAGGAGGGGTATACCAAGAAATTGGCCCACCTATGGCATGGACCGTTCCGAGTCCAGGAGTTAGTCGGAGATCATGCGGTACGTCTGGAGTTACGAGGTACAGAATACAGACTATTCCCAATCGTACACATCTCCAAGCTCAAGCCCGTCAGAGAGTTCCCCGATCGACCTAATAGCGAGCTGAAAGTGGATGGAACGGATCGAGTCGACTTCGACGAATGTGTGCTACCAGAAGACAGCTGGGTGCGGGAATTGGAAGAGGGCGAGTATGAAGTCGAAGAAATTTTAGAGAGTCGTACAGGCAAGAAGACTCGGTATGGGAGGCAACAACGAGAATTCCTCGTGCAATGGAAGGGACACTCTGACCCCTCGTGAGTGGACGAAGTGGATCTGAATTGCTGAGCCTTACTCCGGGACTTCGAGCGCAAGAAGACAAGCCATAACCGCTTCGAAGTAATGCAAAGCCATGAAAACTAGCAGACGGTAGCAAAGTTTCTTGGAAGGTTTAGACCGGGTCCCTCATTGATAGACCTGGTCCCTCATTGGTCGGCCCAGCCCCTCATTGGAAGACTTGGGTCGCCTGCGGGGCGACCTCGAACTTTCACGAGTTAGGAGTATAGGAGAATGGAGAGCAAAGGAGGAAGATTACCAAGATCAATCAGAGTCAGGGGAAGACATGGCTGGACAGACACGAGTTAGAGATGGATGAGCAACAAAGGAGACAGTAAAGGACCTACATGACGAAGGAAGTGAAGACATGCGCGTGCTCAATCCGTTGTACGGTTGAGCAAGTTTAGGGGGCGGCTGTGGTGAAGTGCTACTTTAGTGATGTGGAGGTCCCAGACTCCAGTTGGATTCGGAGTATAGGCCGTGGATCAGGGCAAGGGGACCAGAGAGACAGGGGCCTCGAAGGGGAACGACCGTTGGTGGAGAACAATCCGCAGGACCCACAGAAGAAAAATCAGTATTAGCTGGTTAACCGGTTAACCGGTACCAAATGGTAGTTGATCATGGCCCTTCATTGATCGACCTGGCCACTCGTTGGTAGATCCGGGTCCCTCATCGGTCGACCTGGGTCCCTCGTCGGTAGACCCGGTCCCTCATTGGTAGACCTGGGTCCCTCATTGGTAGACCCGGTCCCTCGTTGGTCGACCCGGTCTCTCATTGGTAGACCTAGGTCCTTCATTGGTCGACCCGGTCCCTCATCGGTCGACCTCGGCCCCTCGGGGTTCAGCCACTCCGGACCAGTTAATACAAGGATCAGACCAGTCGACGCAAGGAATCAGAGCTTCAGGCAAGGATAGAGTAAAGGAGTTAAAAGGATAGGACTACATTAAATACTACTCAATTTGAGATCTACGTGGCACGACTCCGTCACCCAAGAAGAACTTGCTCTAAGCTACTCACTGTTCCGGGAAGGGATATATTTTGGCCCCCCGTCGAAGACAGTTGTGTAGCGATGTTCAAGTGCGAATAGAGCTCCAGGATATATTTGGCCTGTAACCTCGTTCGAGTAGCAACACCCCCCAAGACCCGCTATCGGAAGCGGTCTCCCTCACCTCAAGGTCCGGGAGCAACGTAAAGTTCAGGTGGTTAATACCCCTGAAACAAGAAGGAAAAGGCCAGGGACGACAAGCGCCCTGAAGAATTTGGCTCTAAGTCCACTCTCGACAAGGTCGATCGAGTGGCCACCTACCGGCCCACCGAGTGAAGCATGTCCACTCGAGGCCCCAGGTCTACCTCCCTCAAGGCAGACATCTACATCTTCTCCAAGTCCTCCGAAGAGTGCAACCCGCCAGCCGACGGGTACACAAGGTGAGAGAAGGTTCATACGCGGCACCGGGGTACCCTCCGACAGTCGGCAGTCCGGCACAGTGAGTGGTTTGGGGTCTCATCATACAATTTTGAGAACCCACTCCACCACAATCTGATTGCTCAGAATGCCAAAAGGAGGTTCTGAACATTTTGACAAATTAAACTAGTGGGAAGCCAAAGGTGGTTGAAAAAAAAGTTGTCACTGACACATAATTTATAAAAACTAAAGACCAATTGGTTTCGATTTTGTGGTACACACCCACAAAATAAAGTTGATATAAGCGCTCTTACATCAGACATTTCTACGGTAGCAAGATTAGTTGTGGCGACAACGTACGTTCCTCTCGATTTTCTCTTCTTCTATATTGTATTAATCCATCCTGTGGCAGTGAGTCATAAGGTCTGCCACTACATCAATATCACTCTATGTGTCCTTTGATATATCTCACGTCACATGTTCCCTTTTGATAGATCACGAACCAGCAGCCATGGGCAAGAAAAAAATTAAGAAGGAGCTCACATATCAACAGGGTGATGTTCTAAGTAAAAGATTGCCAGCGCTAAATGCTACGCTATGTACAATTCTGAGGTCTAGCAAGAAACAGAAGACAAAGCAATCGATTGGAGATGCGGAAACTGAAGTGGAGATTGATGCACTAAGCTTTGACAATGCCTTATCGGCTGGTTTGGCCTTCGAGCAGCTCGAATCTTATGACGGGGCATTGAAATCTTTCCAACGTGCGGTCAACTGTCAACCGAATCATTTGGGAGCTCTCACGCATCTTGCAGACGTCTATTCTGCTGCTGGACAGCCGGAAGAAGCACTGAAGTGCTATGTTAAGGCCAGTAAGCTGGAGGGTAGCGGGGAGGACGCGTCGGTTTGGTTCCGACTTGGATTGGCTCATACAGCCATAGATCAGCAGCTTAAGGCTACAAAAGCCTACCAAAGGTCGATTGATATTAACGCTAGAGCGTTGGAAACTATGAGTGACGCTCACCAGGATGTTGGAGACCTTAGAAAGGCTTACGGCATCACATTGGCCGCCCTTGCAGAAGCTTTTGGCGAACTTGGAGATCTGGATTCAGCCGTAAAAGTTTATGAAGATGCTGTAATCAGGTTTCCGAATACTGCAAACATGCATTTCAACTTGGCAAGTATGCGCATGGCGAGGAATGAAAGCATTGGTGACGAAGCTTTTGACTCAGTGGTGGCTCAGAGCTTGGAGCGAGCAATAAAGCTCAGCCCAAAAACATGCGACTTTGTTAAAGATTTGGCATCTTACTTAGCACAGCATAACCAGCAACCAGATCGAGTTCGCGAACTGAGGAAACAGGCTGATGAGCTTCAGATTGCCGGTATAGCTGCAGCTGCTAAGAGCGACGATGCACACGACCAAGAGAAAAGCTGTGGCAGCGATGAGGATGAGGATGAAAGCGAAGATGAAAAAGACAATGAAGAAGAGGAAGAGAAAAGCTGTGGCAGCGATGAGGATGAGGACGTAAGCAAAAATGAAAAAGACAATGAGGGTGAGGACGTAAGCGAAGATGAATAAGACAATGAAGAAGAGGAAGAAGAGGAAGAGAAAAGCTGTGGCAGCGATGAGGATGAGACGTAAGCGAAGATAAAAAAAGAATGAGGAAAAGAAATTGTATGATGATTAGTCGCCCCTCGATAGCATACATAACGATTAGTGAAATAAGTAAGAGACCCGCATCTTAAATGCGTCTTAAACTTGTGTAGTTGAGCAAGTAGCGACGCTGCAGTGTAAACACGTACTTGTTGCATAAATGCACTTGCCAATTGGCCACCACCTCGGTCACGCATATGCATGACAATCCTCGCCATGTAGGTTCAAAGACAGCGAACGCGTGTAATGTCTGTCATTTTCTACTCCCACTATAACTTAGGGTTCTTGCTAGGCTTAAAACGGCGATGGGTTCATCAACTACTAGCCTTAAAGTGTGAACTTAGGATAGTGTAACTCCTCGTCATAATCCTCACGCAATCACATAGTCTTTTTTTCGTTCCACAGCAGCGTCGAGCGCTGAGGCTAAGCATGCGCTTGTCGAGCGACATCGTATACAGCATTTTTTCTGTGGCATAGGTGTCAATTTTAAGCATGTATGAACAATGCACCAGACCAAGACACCACTCACGGTCGAATGTTGTGTTTGCTCTAACAAACACAAATAGTCAGTCTCCATGTACTACCGTTGGCCGAAGCTTCAACATGGTTAGTGGTAGCAAGTGCCACATTTTTGTCACACTAATCAATGAGACGAGGTGTTCGCAACTCGAATCGAATAGCTTAAAGAAAGTTTGAGGACCTTGAGCTACAAACGTTTTAGTGATGTCTCAAGTTAAGCACGCGGACGAACTTGTTGGGATCTGTGACGGCAGCACAAGCTGCACAAACTATGGCGGAAACGGCTAAAGCCCAAGCGGAGGCGGCTCAAGCCAAAGCTATAGCGGTTCAAGCGCAAGCTGAAGCCGCTGTAGCCCAAGTAGGGGCTGCACAAGCTCAAGCAGAAAGTGCACAAGCTCGAGCGGAGGCAGCTCAAACTCTTGCCGATTGGTCACAGACTCAAGCAGAGACTGCGCAAGCTTTCGCAGACAAGCTGACTGGCCAACATGAACGCAGAAGCTGTAGGTTTCAGGACAAGAGACGAGAACAGAACCCGATAAGGCAACATTAGGCATTGATACGCGTATTCTGTTAGCGTATCTTTCTTGCATATGCTCTCGTCCTTTATTTTCTGGATTAACGTGCTGCACTCTAGTTTACAAAGTGAAATCCAATATGACTTGTTACTGTAGGATGTGCTTAACAAAGATCCACACTTTAGGTCAGTGCTTGCTCTGCGAATACAAGTATAGGTGCACGGTGTCTACAACATTCCACTACTAAGCAATGAAGGTGTGAATGACTCACATTTCAGCGTTAATATTGTTATTTTTTTTCTTTTTCATGTTTATTATGATCGAAGTCACAGCTGGAAGCCCTTCACGACCATCTTTGCCTCAACGTCGAATCAGTGCTTGCCATCACTAGCAATTTGTCAGTCTATTTTGCTCACAAGTAACGAAGATAGTGTTAACGGAAGCATCAAACTCCAAATTGAAATCGAGCAGATAAATGTGTCGTTCATCAACATGCTAGAGAAATATAAATACCGATGTTTGGATGATCCATTATCAAATAAAGAAGCCGGCATATTATAATTACTGTTATGGATACAATAATAGTGATTATTTAGTGTAGGGTACTTAGGGTAGGTATATATATTTTAATGTATAATTATAATCATTCTCATTTTAAGTCGTAGAGATAAAGCCGGTATTGGCTTGCTTCTCTTGTGCGTTTCGTGCGTTAGTTCTCTGAACCTTTAAGCTGTTTTTACACTCTGTGCGTTGAATTTATGAAACTATGAACCTTTAAGTTTCTTGCTTGCTGACTAGGAGTGCCTCCCAAGTTATTTAAACGGGTAACCTTCTAGTCATTGTATTATCTCCTTAGATCTTAGTGGCTTTAAGCCATAACATTTTTTAATTTCCTTATAACTAAGAGGCATTTGGCCTATAAGCCTTTCTCTAACATGATTTGCTACGTAGCTTCGTTACACTTGGTAGCACTTGTAGTCAATCCTACACCTGAGTCTCTAAGACTGACCCTCTGTGAGGATAGATTGTCGCTATCACCTCTCTGAGGCGCAACAACTCGCGCTTTATAGATATTTAGTGCTAATCGAAGTTGATTAGATAAATCATATTATGGTCCATGGCCCGGAAGTTCTTGCTGCATGTAACGGGCTAAGGACCCGTTACCGTCTTACACTTAAAGGGCGTTGAGGAAGCGCTCTTAATTAACTCGTAAATATAACTCTGTTTTTATTCTGTTGTGTTTTAATTCGCAGTAAGTGCGAATATGTTTCCTAGTTTATGGGAACCACTCAATATGGAAGTCAATTTATTATTGGCTAATTATTGGGTCTGGCACCCCAATAATAAACGAATAATAAAATGACGCGCAGTATCCGCTAATCGGATACTGCCCTATGCCTACTAATGTAAGTATATAAAATTTCTATAACTACTTATGTAATAGGTTGCCCCGTTACACTGCACGCCTTGAGATTTTATGCGATACGAGGCAACGTTGATCGGACGAGTCCATTCCCTTGTAGCATCGTCTATGCCGACGCACTACATTCCAATGCCCAATGAAGACCCAAAGGCTGTTAGCCTTTAAGATCTCCGAGGGGAGCTTTTCTTTCTGGGTTGGGGAGGTCGAATGGCTATGAGCGCCGGTATGCTCAGAGTAAAGCAGCAGCGGGTAAGGCTGACCAATTTAAAGCTCATTGGAAGGGCCAGATAGCGGTCACTAACGTGAGATGCGTCTATAGACGCTGAATTTCCAAAATGGCGTGTGCTTATGAGACAGATGTCTCGTTTGTCTACAGGCTAATTGCGCGCGAACACGCTTCCTAGCTTCCCTAATAGAGAATAAACAGTTATAAGTATGTGTACATGATCTTAGAGCTCTGCTTGCTGCGATGCAGCTAGACCCTCTATCAGAAAGCGTCCAAGTAACGCTTTATATGAATAGACTCCGCACGGGAGTCGCCAAGACAAAAACAAAATCGAGTCCACCCCTTGACTTTTGAGAAAGCGGTGAACATAGCATTGAATGCCTAATTCAAGTTCAAAGTGGCTCGCTATGGTACCCAGGGGGTTCTGTGATGAAGTGCTAATTTGGTGATGTGGAGGTCCCAGAATCCAGTTGGATTCGGAGTTTAGGCCGTTGGTCAGGGACAGGGGACCAGAGAGACAGGGGCCTCGAAGGGGAGCGACCGCTGGTGGAGAACAATCCGCAGGACCCACCGAAGAAAAATCAGTATCAGGGTACCGGTTAACCGGTACCAAATGGTAGTTGGTCATGGCCCTTCATTGATCGACCTGGCCACTCGTTGGTAGATCCGGGTCCCTCATCGGTCGACCTGGCCACTCGTTGGTTGACCTGGGTCCCTCATTGTTCGACCCGGTCCATCATCGGTAGACCTGGATCCCTCATTGGTCGACCGGCCCCTCATCGGTCGACTTGGGTCCCTCATTGGTCAACCCGGTCCCTCATTGGTAGACCTGGGTCCCTCATCGGTAGACCCGGTCCCTCGTTGGTCGACCCGGTCCCTCATCGGTCGACCTCGGTCCCTCATTGGTCGACCCGGCCCCTCATCGGTCGACTTGGGTCCCTCATTGGTCAACCCGGTCCCTCATTGGTAGACCTGGGTCCCTCATCGGTAGACCCGGTCCCTCGTTGGTCGACCCGGCCCCTCATCGGTCGACCTCGGTCCCTCATTGGTCGACCCGGCCCCTCATCGGTCGACCTCGGCCCCTCGGGGTTCAGCCACTCCGAACCAGTTAATACAAGGATCAGACCAGTCGACGCAAGGAATCAGAGCTTCAGGCAAGGATAGAGTAAAGGAGTTAAAAGGATAGGACTACATTAAATACTACTCAATTTGAGATCTACGTGGCACGACTCCGTCACCCAAGAAGAACTTGCTCTAAGCTACTCACTGTTCCGGGAAGGGATATATTTTGGCCCCCCGTCGAAGACAGTTGTGTAGCGATGTTCAAGTGCGAATAGAGCTCCAGGATATATTTGGCCTGCAACCTCGTTCGAGTAGCAACACCCCCCAAGACCCGCTATCGGAAGCGGTCTCCCTCACCTCAAGGTCCGGGAGCAACGTAAAGTTCAGGTGGTTAATACCCCTGAAACAAGAAGGAAAAGGCCAGGGACGACAAGCGCCCTGAAGAATTTGGCTCTAAGTCCACTCTCGACAAGGTCGATCGAGTGGCCACCTACCGGCCCACCGAGTGAAGCATGTCCACTCGAGGCCCCAGGTCTACCTCCCTCAAGGCAGACATCTACATCTTCTCCAAGTCCTCCGAAGAGTGCAACCCGCCAGCCGACGGGTACACAAGGTGAGAGAAGGTTCATACGCGGCATGGGGGTACCCCCTCCGACAGTCGGCAGTCCGGCACAGTGAGTGGTTTGGGGTCTAATCATACAATTTTGAGAACTTACTCCACCACAGTTCCTTTGATAAGGCTGATCCCATGGACCTGAGCCATGCTGAAGAAGCTGAGCTACATGCTGCAGAGCAGCAAGGTATCATCCGTATATGTTACATATGCGGAAGCCGCTAGGCATCTCCGCCCTAGATGTTCGTTGCGAAAGGAACGTCATTATGGCAGGGGAAAACGTCAGCTCCCAGTAAGGTGCCCCGCGCCTACTGGGAAAGAGCTAACTTCTGTTGAACCTTTAAGAGGTAAGGGTAAACAGGGCTTAGCCCCAGGTGGCTCCGTGAAAGCTTCCGTGGAACAAGATTACAAGCCGGGCTTGTAGGTTGTTGGAATCCGTTAAAAGTTTAAGAAATCATGGTCAATTTTAATTGACTCAAAAGCGTCAGCAATTATTCCGACGTCTTTTCCTTGAAGGGAGTCAGCTGTATGCTGAGGCGCTAGAAGCGCAAGAGGGTGACAGCATAA